CGAAATCGCGATCCGCGTCTGGCAGTTTCGACAGAATACAGACCACTTCGAATTATTTTATTCGATAGAGAGTGTAAAATTTGAAGAGATAATGGAATAAAACCACTTCATAAATTATTATTATTAATTTAATTTCACCCTGTATGTTTACCGAGGTAGAGGTGTACGTACGTTAAGGTACAAGTATGTATATATATGTGGTGCGAATCTCATCATCACATCTCTTCTTAATTACCGGCCTCAGTTTATAACCATTCGCTGATGCATTACCTGATCCAGAACAAACCTGTATTTAAAATCCTTCTGGTGTAAAAATTTACGAACACACATACACTTACACATAATACACATACGTATAATCTAATGCATCATAACGTTAGGCGCGTTCTTTGTGTGGTTTCAGTTCCGGACATCGGATATTAGCGGTATATTTTGACATGAAATATTTATAATTATCATCTATCTTATGATGTTAGTACGCACGTACGGCCCAGTTGGCCGGAAAATGGAGCACAGCTAGTTATTACCTATGTATTTCTGAACGAATATAAAACACAATACGTTAATTGTAGCAATAGTGACATTTGTACATAACTACAGTAGATAGCAGTCTAAAAATTGGATACGAAATTTCAGTCTCGTCGAGAATATGAACAGATTTTACCGTAATATCTTCGGATAAAACAAGGGGTTACGTTCCTAGGCATGCGAACAGCTCATTAGGAACAAGGGGTAAGTGCAGAGGGTGAATAAGACCCCTTCATGCTATTCAATTGCTTTAGGATTGAGATGAAAGAATTTGTAAGAAACCCAAACGAAGTTTCAATTCGAAGCCGGCCCTGGGCGTGCATTAGCAACGTATAGAGAAATCGATGAAGAATGTAGACAAAGGCTAATCCCTGCGCGATCCTACCAGGCCCTCGAGTACGTTTTTCTCGAATAGGGTGACTTTCCAAACCACTAAAGAATTACTTAATTTGCTTGTTTTATAATGCCCTATCAGTTTCTGCAAGCTTACAACTTATTTCAGTAACTGCCTGTATAAAAATTGCTTTCTAAGCTGAGACCCCTGCGGATTTTTCTTTAAAACAAATTAATTTTCATCGTTTTTGAATTTTACATGGAATCATATGGTGTAGAAACTGCGTGAAGCGGTTCCCATCACATTGCATTACAGTCCATGTTATTAGATACCAACATAGGAAGGGAAGAGGTCATGTTTAACTTTTAACCGATAACAGAGGGTAACGGAGAGGTAACTCACTAACTTTAGATGACTAGCATGTAGTTGTTTGTTGTTGCCGGATTCCAATTACGGCGATAGCCCACAACATATTACATGGATTAGCCAGCGGCTCTTTTCATTTCTTCTATTTGTTGTTTACCCGTTTACCGTGCAAGTTCCGTTATTACCTTTACCTTTCAATGTACATATTGCCTGTATTATTACCGATAAAGAGAATTGGCTGATGTGTAATGGTAGTATCTAAACCATAAACTACATCTAGTCGGTTGTATCTGTTGTATTTTCATGAAAAGGGAAAAAAAAAAATACAACTGATCATAGTCCATATCACCGAAAAAACGCTATTTCGGATCGTATACTAGGAACGAATGAGCAAACTAGTAATTGAGAGAACAATTATGTATGATCACATGGGCGTACCCAGCTTCTGCCCTAGAGGTCAGATCGTCCGCGGCTGTTTTGTCATACACGCTACACAAAGGCATCTACATGAAACATTAGGTATATGTAGGGCAAACAGCCGCAAATTGATCCTGCTTTATAGGTAGTTAAGGATGTTTGGGAGGTATGTCAAAATGCTACGAAACAAATAAGAATTTGGAACGACGTTCCTCGTTCAATTCTAAAACTCCTGTAAAAATTACAAATCGATTCACTAAACCGTTAAAAAGTTATTGAAATTTTAAAAAATTGTAATTTTACACGTCATTTTATGGAGATTCGTTAACCGAACAGATTAAATTTATTTTTATTAACAGAAAAAAAGCTACCAGAAATTTCAAACTTTTATAATAAGTAACTTGAACTCTGGAGAATCACTTTAGCGTAAGGTTATTCAAATTCACTAAATGGTTATCGAGGAAAAAATGAAAAATTAGCTGAAAATCTCGTTTTTACTTGATAATATAATGATAATATTTATAATTGTCTGAAATAAATGCAATTTTAAAGTTTTAATTATTATTTAAACATATTAAAAAGTTTTACGCTCATTATTAATAGAGATTGAAACTAAATATTTTTTTGTTTCGAAGTTGAAATCAAGGCATATTCACTGCCAAAAGTCAGTTAAAAATTTTCCATATTATTCGTTATTTCTTATTTTATTCAAAGTTTTTGGTCAAATTCCAAATTTTCTCTCAAACCGTATACTTTTTTTTAGTATAGATAGTATTTATTTACCTCATGATATGCTGCAAAACCTAATTATTTACGAATTTCTAATTTTATGTACTCTTGTCTCCGATTGTACCTCCCAAACGTCTTTAAATAAATAAAAGTAAATTTTACTATGCATTTTTAATTTATTTTAATTATTTAATTCGACTTCTACTGTTTTATTCAAAAGTGAGCATACAAGGCCCCGTTTACACTTTGATTAGTGATTAGGCGAGTTCATACATTTTCTGCGAGATTTCCAGAGGGGGGGAGGGCAGTTGCCCTCCCCTGCCCCCCCTGGGTACGCCCATTTATGATCACCCAGAAGTATGAATTGAATGGAAAACCTCTGAACTTAATTCTGGTTAATATTTTTGTATCAGGGTTTTTCCATTCTTTTAGATGAGAACGTTTATTTAAGTTCTTCCAAAAACACATCCGTCGTGCATTCATCAGTTAGGCAAGTTGATACCTGAATAAGGCCTTGTCTAACGCCTGAAATACTTCATTAGCAGTAAAACTCCACTAGATGGCGATATACTTCCTATACTTGGAAATTATTAGGTACTGGTACAATGGGTAGTGACAATGCAGAGACGTATCTATAGATAGATGATTACGAAACATCTGTACAATACGGCTTATTGATTGTTTCGAGTTCTTGTAATTATCTACTGAAATGTAAAAACATGTGTTTGATGCACTCGACTACGATTGCAAATGGTCGATAACGAAGCCTTACGATTTATTGTTCTTTGTCCTTTTTCAATGTCTTCTGTGATAGGCATCAAGTATATATTAATAGCGGTTTTGCAAAGTGCTGGTAGGCAACGAGCTAATGTACTGGAAAGAATAAATACCTTGGGGAAAATCGTCGTAGTTGACAAGAGAATTTCAATCACAAGTCGGCCATGTTATAGACGAATAGAGAAATGCCCATCAAAATGAGAACAAAAATAGATTTTACGTCATCATATTGTATGTACTTTATTTCAACGAGTATATATATTAACGGTACATCAAAAGTCCAAATATCCAAAATATTTATACTGTTTTAAACAATGTACTGCGTAATTAAAAATTCTAAGCATTTTGCCATATTTCAATTCTAGTTCATCTGTATTTCCTTTTAAATATTGACATCTGAGATTATCCTCATGCCACAAACAAAATCCATCATTATCATAACGTCGTCAGTCTTAAAACTGGTTGGACACGAACCTCCACCGTTTCTTATCTTCAGCTAATTTTCGCATTTCCCTACGACAGTAATCTAATCTAGATCTACCTCTAATTATGTTAAATCCTGTTTCTCCTAGTAATATGTCTCTAACTATCCCTAAAGGGTGTCCTACTAACCTATATCGCGTATTACTTCCATAGAGTCCCCTTTTCTCCTATTCTTTCTAATACCTTCTCATTAGAAAACCTCTATCCACGGCATCCTCATCAATTGCCTGTAACTTTTTCTTTTTCGCCGCGCCCATCGTCAACGTTTCGCACCCGTACAGTGCCGTGCTGCGAACATATCCCTTTAACAATCTTTTTCGAATATCTAAATTAACTACTCGCGAGCATAGAAGTTATCTCCTTTTGTGAAAGGCAACTCTACAAAATCATTACGTTTATATGTTTCGAATTTAATTAAAACAAAACTCTATTTTAAAGTACTTGTGCCATTAAAAAAGTAGGCATTCGTTTGCCGAAGCATAAACAGTGTCATTTTGTTTAAATTAACCCCGAAACAATTTCATTCTGTTATTCGTATCGTTACGAAATGTTTTAAATAAATAAACATTTCCGCAAACTCCATTCAAGTTTACCGTTTCTCTAAATAAATGATTGCCCGTGGCGCGTTTTTTGGAATACTTAATTTCAATGCTAATTGGCCTATTCAGCGGTTTCTAACAAACCTGACATTTCAGTGTCTTATTACACGGTTCTCCATTTAGGAAGAGTCTACGAACTTGATGGATGAAACCAGTTTATAAAACGTAGCCAACGTTTATATTTTAGAGATCTTTTTTGAGATAATTAGACGTATGAGTGGTATAAATAAATTAACTTTTATAAACGTCAAGGATAGTCGACATGAAAAAGTTTTTATTATTATCGATCGAATTTGTAAAAGATGCTATACCTGGAGAGTATTAAATTAGCACTAAAACCTCAAAAAGGAGAATGGCACCCTGGGTGTCCTAGCTGAGAATGACACCCTAGGTGTCCTAGCTGAGGATGAAACCCAAGCTGTTTCTAACTCACAATTAGTATGACACCTAAAAGTGTCTCTAATAACTGAAGATGAAACCCAAAGTGTCTTTAATTAAGGTTGTTATCTTAAATAGGTTAGGATGTATTCAGTTAAGTTCCACAGGACTCCAATTGGTTCCCTTGTATAACAGAGTAAAGTGCCTCTAAGGGAAGAACCATAGTATGTCCCTGATTGTTGCCATATCTTTTAAAGCGTCTGAGATATAATCAATTTTATATATTTACTTTCATTTTTTGAACGGTTAATTTAAGCCAGATTCCATACAAGGTCAGATTGCATATCACAAAATAAGCACCTCATAGATTCATTTGTTTTTCTTCTCAGGTTTGGAGAACGTGTATTAGCGGTAGCTTTTTTAACGGTTGGGAAATTCGTCGTTGATTCCGACCAAAATGAATACAACCATAAAATTGATAAGTAGGAATTTAGGAAACTCCACCTGATTATTTCGCCATGAAACCGATAACGTTTGAAAACTTGCGACGACTCATTGGAGGCCGTCGCAAGAAAAAGGATAAAGAGGCGTCGTTTAAAAGGAGCGATTCTTTTAAAAGAATTTCGATCAGAAAAAGTTACTTGGACCGAGGTAAAAAGAAGCATCTTCAGAAACTTGAAGTTGCCACTCAAACTGTCGTAGAAGAAGCGTTGAATAGCAAACCTCTGCCTTCTACATCAAGTAAAGCAGATGGGGTAGCACAGACTAATATTTGCTGCTCCGGTTCTTCGAGCAAAGACGACGTGGAATTGTACAGTCGTTGGGCTAAAGAAGAACTCAATTCTCAAAAAGGGAAGACGTGTTCCGTTGCTAAAGGTTCAGAAAGAACAATAATATACGTTCCTGCCTCAGACGAATCCAAACATCCTTCCACTGTTATTCGACAGCTTTCTTCGTCACCAACGCGATCAAGAAAGTACGAAAACAAGAAAAAGTGCAAATCTTCATCGTCTTTACTTGAAAGGACCCAAAGTAATGATTCGGCCGTTGAAATGTTCCCATGGGGAAATCCTACAGATATTCAGAAATCTCCCTTGATAAAAAGGAAATCGCGGTCGTCGTCACCAGCTGTCGGATCCGGACTTCTTGGTCTTGACTCTGGTGCAGAAGAGTTGTGTTCGTTATCAATAAGTCTGGGAAGGATTTGGATGGACGCTCCGCAAAACATGACTCCCAGAAGTCTGGAACTTCCCAGAACTTCTACTGCGAACGTTAATACTCACCATTCTCTTGACAGTGCTCTTAAAGATAGACGAGATGAAATAAAGAGATTCCAGAAGAACGAAACTCCGTCTAAAGGAACAGAAAACAGTTGCACTGGCGGTATCATGTCTAGCAAGGATTCCGGGTTTTCCATATCAATCCCCAAATTGACCGATTTCAACTCATTCGATGGCCCTGTTCCGATGGTGTCACGAGGATTTTTTGGAAGGAAGAGACCAAAGCCAAAATTATCGGTTAGTAGAGACGGTTATTTTAAACGAACAAGTGGTGCCGCTCTGATCGTCGATTTTCGAAGAAGTTCCGTGAAGAGGCGCAGCAGTCGCAAAAAGCGTCTTCGGAATTCGGCAAGGAAGAAAAAGAAAGCTGCCGAAGCAGCAAAGTGCGACATCTACCAGGTGTTCGTCGGCAGGACACCGAGATCGTTGCGTTCGTTAAAACTCGATCCGATGATATTCGTTCCACCGGAAAGAAGGAGATCGTCGATTAAACGAAAACAGTCATTCAAACTCGGTCTTCCGGAAATAAGAAGAGTCAATTGTGCAGAAGTGGATCCTTATTTAGGGCCATCAAATAGCCAACAAGACGAAGACCACTACGAATCTCCGTCTTTTGATACATTTTACGACGACGACGCCGATGAAGAGCTCCTCAGCGGACGGGTATCCCGCATAAGCGTCAGGAGGAACGAAGCGGAAGGAGATTATGATTATCCTTCGAACAATTTTACGACCGCTTACGGTTATTTTGAAGATGCGGACGAATCTAGTGCTCTGTCGGTATCGTTAAACTCATCGCGTCCGAACAGTTCCATTGCCGAAAATGAGAACGACTGTCCGCTGAGTATCAGTGGCGGTTACAATAATGTTACGTGTAGTTCGAGCGGACCCGCGTCGTCCGTCATATCGAAGAGGAAGGCCGTGAGGAGAAAAAAATCGGGACTGTCACATAAAAGAAGTGTAACGTATGTAGCGAAGCCGGTCATCGTTAGGGCACCGTCGACCCTGAGGAAACATAAAAAACATCAAGGTAATTTTTTGTGATTTCTTTAAGACTTGATCTCGATTTGAAATGTCATTATTATGGAAGGCCGTTGAGGAAAGTGGTCGTTCAATATTGGGAAATGGTTATTAGTGTACCCATGGGGTAACTCTTACTAGACGTCACTAATTTTGTCCTGTTATTACCTGAGCTTTTTTATTATCTTTATTTTTCTCAGTTTATTGTTTTCGGTTTAAATCTTAAGGTGCCTACAATATCCCAACAGAGAATTTTCTCCTTGCTGTTAATTATTTCACTGTTCTCTGTAGGACATTTGAAATAATTTAAATTAAATTGAAAGTTTTGAGGAGGCAGCCGCTTTTGTACTTACTACTTAGAAGTTTGTCCCTTTTGGATACTTTTTACAAAAAGAAGATAACGAACCAGGCGGCGTGGCTCTCAAAACTGAGAGCTGTTTTTTCTCAAGATAGATTTATTGTCGACTGTCGCAAAGTTGAAGAGGTGGACACTCGAAAAATAATAATAATAAAAAAAGAATTTGAGAGGTGCTCCTGTAGAGAGCGAGGATTTCTACTTGCAAGGGCTGTTGATTCAGTGAGGGATTAGTAAGAGGAAAGTATTGATTAATATTCAAGGTTTGTTAAAAAAAAATACAAATGCAGGTAGAGGGTGAATTATCCAATTTAATACCTTCCTTTATCATCATATATCAATAGTAATATTTTGAAAATCAAAAATAATAGTGCATGTTATTCTTTTTGTGGTGCTTTGAAATATGCTGTTGACCGTTCACTTAAAGAAAAGTACACCGTGAGTGGTGCGCACAAACGGTGCAGCTTTCTTTAAGTGGACGGACCTACTAGAGGCTTCATAAACCTGTTAATATACAGGGGTGTTCCAAATATGTACCCGATATAAAAATGTTCAGTCTCTCAGAGTCTCTGAAAGAAGAGACTCGAGTCTTCGTCTCTCATCGAGTCTCTCTGGTGTCGCTGAGAGAGACTGTCAAAAACTGTTTAGCGTCTCTGAACGAGAGACTCAAGTCGCTCATTAGAAAGATTCTCAAGTGGTGTCTCGTTAGACATGGTTAAAATTTTCTAAGTTCAACATATTTCAGAGATCCCAGTCTTTCTACGAGAGACTCGAGTCTCTCAATTTTTCAGTTTTATTCATTCAGTCTCTCTGTGAGAGACTCGAATCTCTGAATTAACAATTTTGTCGTTCCAGTCTCTCATACAGAGACTTTGAGAAATCCATAAAAATACCTAGGTAATAACTGAGAGACTGTGAGAGACGCTGAAAGACTCTGAGAGACTGGAGAGAGACTGAAAATTTTTGTCTAGGGTACTTGTATACTTTAATGATTAGATATAATAATAGAATTCTTAATTTGTCACTAGTCTATCTCTAAATTCTGCCATTCAGAAAGAAATTTAATATTCAGGAAGAAATTGTGTGATAATTATATGATTACGCATAAAATTGAATTATTACGAATAGCAGGGTGCTCCTGTGATAATATTTTTGGTCCTTCGGGTTTGTACGTGAAGGAATTAATACATATATAGATGAGATGGAGGGAAAACAAAAGGAATATAACTTACGCTTAAAGGAACGTGGACAGTCAAGGAACGGAAATTTGGAACTAATTTATTCAATGGATTAGTAACGTAAGCTCGTCTAAGCTGCCAACCCGTGTAACTTAATTTAGAAGTTGGATTTCAACGGGAATACGTCGTGTCCGTTGCCCGTTGCCTAAACGGCCGAGTAATCCCACCATCTCGCCCTAGAAAATATGTATTAGCAGTTTTGTTTTCTTTTCCAGAGCTTTTTCCTTCTTAGAGCTTCTTCCCAACTATGGTAAAGTTTTCTTGTTGTTGAAAATTTAAATTTGCCGATAGCAACGTTACAACCAATTTAGGTATATGACTATAGTAACAGTAACGTAAGGTGCAAATACAGTGGATTTCGGGTATAACGACAACAAAGGGACCACTGCAATTTCGTCGTTATATTCAGAAGTCGCTACAGACAAAGTTAAAGAAGATACAGACGCACACTGATTTTCAATTTTGAAACAATTTTCGTCTTTTTTTAACAGTAAATGTACATCTGGAAGTCACACTTATTCAAACGTTTACTAAACACAGTTGCTACTCAGAAACAACAGTAAAGGTCACCACACTTGTTGACTGTTTGTGTGAATGTAAACAAAAGATAAGAAAGCTCTTGGTGTCTTAAGCGGCCGACTCCTGTCGCTATATCTGCATGGGATTACTAGGGATTTGTTACAAATAATCCATTAAAAACAGTCGCTACACCCGAAATCAGCGTTACATCCGAAGTCGCTATGGCCACATGAATTTTATACTAAAGTATGCTTTAAATTCAAGGGACTTACATATGACGTCGCTTTGCACAATGGTCGCTATAACCAAGGTCGTAATAAATGAAATCCACTGTATTTTTATATTGAATGTTTCATTTGGATTATAGCAAGAAGATTCAATCGTTACTATCACAACTGCTAGATGGCGATATGTTGGCAGTTACTTGATTTCAATTAACTTTCTTACATGGGGTAACTTCGGTTTGATCGGCGAAACTATATATGTTGTGCTGATGATAACTAAACATTTTCAAATTGCATTTCATTGCCTATGATTAGACTGATACTCTTATTGTGGATGTTCTTGTCCGTGCTTGAACAGCTTGAAGGCTGCCATCCTATTTTTTTTGCAAGTTTTGCGTTTTATTTTCGACTATTGATCCAGGAAGTTGTTGGTTCGCACGGACACATGTCTCCACTAAATCCGTGTTCCAATAAATGCGGTTTTATGGCAAATTTATATAGCGCCCACAAGTCGACTACGCGATTTACATCTAAAACGTTTAACTGCAGCAACGAAGGATTATTTCACATCACATTTATTTCAAGGCCTGCTTATATGTTCACCAGTCGATAAATGTATTTATGTTGTAGGTAGGTATACGTATCAGGAACAGGAAAACCATGAATCTCAATTGTAATTTGAGATGTATAGTTTCAGGATTTTAGTTGTTTACGATTACGACATAAAACGTTGAGTTTGATAGTCCTTTCTGAAGGCAAATTAGAACATGTATGTTATGCTGTTATTTTGTTAACGTTAATCTGCGATGGATTGAGGTAAATATTCAATTATTAAGCGAAAATTAATTAGTTTATGTTTAATAGTAAATTGGCGGAAAGAATGGAATTGCAATCCACTTTGATTTTGATTTAGTGGATATAGGAGATGAATCTACAGTATCATATGCCATATCTATGCAGTTTTTTATACCACCACCAAGAAGAATTCAATTGTCCTTATTTTGGGATTCTGAACGTGTAATTTTAACAATGTTTCCTGTAGAAAGCGATCACAATTGCAGGTGCTTATTATGCCAATTTAATTATCAAATTACGTCAACTAATGAAAGAAAAACTCGGTGAAAGTTGCACAAAAGGGTTCCCTTGCATCGGGATGGGTGACACGGCGGGCTTCTAATTATAGGGTTGTTTAGAAAGTCGTTTCGTTTTTTTTTGTGGAAATGAAAGACAGTTTTCGTATAATAAACAAATACTTTGACCGTTCTGGTTCAACACCTTTTGCCATCTTTCTGGTAGTAGCCTAATTCCACGCTCATAAAAGTTTTGGTCTTTGCTGGCAAAAAACTGATCGAGGAGGTTTTTGACCTCCTCATTTGAGGTGAAGGTTTTACCGTCTAAAAAATTTTGGAGTGACCGGAACAAATAATAATCCGATGGTGCCAGGTCTGGAGAATATGGAGGGTGTAGCATTGTATCCCATTCAAGCTGTAAAAGCTTTTGGCGAGTGACCAAACTTGTGTGAGGTCTCGCGTTGTCTTGGTGAAACACTACACCTTTCCTGTTGATTAGTTCTGACCTTTTCTGTTGAAGTGCATCATTCAGTTTGTCCAGCTGATGACAGTAGACTTCTGAATTAATCGTTGTTATCCGGTAAAAGCCAAAAAAAAACGATTCCTTTAAAATCCCACCAAACAGACAGCATCACCTTTTTTTGGTGAATATCGGCTTTGGAAATGGTTTGAGCCGGTTCATCTTTTTTGCTCCATGACCTCTTGCGTTTGACGTTGTTTTATACAACCCATTTTTCGTCCCCAGTGATGATGCGTTTCAAAAACGGATCATTTTCGTGACGTTTGAGAAGCGAATCGCAGACGTCAATGCGGCGACACAGATTTCTCTCTGTGAGAACATGGGGAACCCATACATCGAGCTCGAGGATAATCCCAGGCCCGATAGTTGCGGGCATCCGCCATATTCGCCAGGATTGACTACCAGCGATTACCGACTGTTTCTAAAACTCTATAAATCCTTGCATGATAACGATTCTCTTCAGATAATGAGGTGCCGTGTGTGCGGTAAATCGTTGACTTTTAGAGACAGAATTTTTTTTCGAGGGACGTTAGAAATGCTACATCGATAGGAAAAATGTGTTGACTTTAGTGGAAATAATGTTAAATAGATGTAAAACATTTGCAAATTTGTTATTGTAAATAGGTCAGCGGCGGAACAAATCATCAATGAGCAAATGAACGATCAATGTCTTGGCATAGAATTTTTGCTACATGTATAGGTAACATAATTAAAATATTATGAAAACTATTTGTTAGATTAGTAGTACTCAAAGATTGGGGCACCTCTCAGTGGTAAGCATTTTCTCTTTCGTTAATTTCTGCTTAAAGGGAGGTTTTAATGTTCTCGTCGATTTGCCGATTCTTTTGAATAATTAAAAGTTCCGAGAATTCGAATGAATAGAAATTTATGTACGGTTCGTTTTCCGCGAAAATGGTAAGGTCTGAAAAAAACCAAATGAAATCGAGATCGGGCATTCTATTGAGTGTCACGTCGAGTCGCTGAAATTGAACGGTTAAATGGGACATTTGGAAGTTTTTAAACGTTGCGATCGCGGGAAATAATTTAACGAAACGACCGACAGACCGACCGAACGACCGCGAGG